CTATCTATCTATCTATCCATCCATCCATCCATCCATCTATCTATCTTATCTATCTATCTATCCATCTATCTATCTATCCATCTATCTATCTATCTATCTATCTATCCAACCATCCATCTATCTATCTAGCGATCTATCTACCTATCTTTCTATCCATCCATCCATCTATCTCTCAATCCATCCATGTATCCTTGTTTGTCTTCGTCAATTCCATTCACTGCCGCACGCCAACTATCCAGAGATCAACTGTTCTCTGGGTCCACACGTAATCTATTGGTCTACTTTTCCTCTATCCGTCTGTCTAGCTATTCGACCTATTTTTCTACTCTCCATCTATCTCTAAACCTGTTCACGTGTCCGGGCTTATCTCTCTGTCCATACAGACTCTCTATGTCTACCCGGTTGTCTACCCGGTTACCTCCAATAATCATGAACTAGGGGGGCCAAAAAATCACGGACCAGGGGGAAATCGATACCCACCGTCACCCATTTGCGACCTGGTACATTACCCTGCAAAAACCAGCCCTAATCACCAACTGAGGCTCCAAAAGGGGCGGTCCCCCCAGACCCCCTAATCTCTCACTACGTTCGCAAACAACAACTCGCCAGCTTGTCCGGCTGGCTTTCGTAAACAGGAACACACCATTCTTGGTTTAACAAAAGCTCAACACGGCTCGAATAGGGCCCCAGCATACCCACCAAGAGCCTAACATGGACCAACATAGGCCCAACATGGTGTTCCGTTTGGGCCGCTATCTAGCTATCTATTCATCTATCCATCTATCTGTCTATCTATCTAGCTATCTATCTACCTAGTTATCTAGCTATCTATCCATCTATCTATCTAGCTCTCTTTCTCTCCCTGTCAATCAATCAATCTATCCATCCATCTATCTTTCTACACATCTAGGTATCCAGCTCTCTCTCTCTCTCTATCTCTATCAATCTAATCTATCAATCTATCAATCTATCAATCTATCGATCTATCTATCTGTCTGTCTATCTATCTATCTATCTATCTATCCATCTATCCACCTATCATGATCTATCTATCACTATCTATCTATCATTATCTATCTAGCTAGCTGGCTAGCTTATCTATCTATCTATCTGTCTGTCTGTCTATCTATCTATCTAGCTAGCTAGCTAGCTAGCTAGTTGTCTGTCTGTCTGTCTGTCTGCCTGTCTGTCTACCGATCGATCTATCCATCCATCCATCCATCCAGCCATCCATCTATCTATCTCTCCATCCATCCATCTATCCTTGTTTCTCTTTGTCGGTTCCATTCACTGCCGCATGCCAACTATTCAAAGATCAACTTTTCTCTGGGTCCACACATAATCTATTGGTCTACTTTTCCTCCACCCGTCTGTCTAGCTATTTGACCTGTTTTCTACTCCATCTAGCTCTACACCTGTTCACGTGTCCCGGCTTATCTCTCTGTCCATACACTCCAATAATCATGAACCAGGGGGGGGGCAAAAATCGCGGACCCAACTAGCCAGCTTGTCCGGCTGGCTTTCGTGCCAGTATTACCGCACAAGGCGGTGGCGGAAGTTTCAAAAATAGGAAACAGGAGAGGTTGGTTGTTGTGAATCACGGATGGCAGAGCGAATCCACTGATGGACCGAAAGGCGGAGTTGTGTTTTTTGGAGTGGTTGCAATGGTTGCAGGGGTCACCTCACCACAACTGTTGGATGTAGTGTGCTGTAGTGCAGTTGTAGTTGTAGTTGTACTGTAGTGTAGTGGAGTTGTAGTTGAAAGTTGTTCTAATGTGATGTAATTAGTGAAGCGTAGTTGCAGTTGAAGTTGAAGTTGCAGTTGTAGTTGTGGTGTGGCGTAATTAGTGTAGTATATTGTAGTGTATTGTAGTGTATTGTAGTGTACTGTAGACTGTAGCGTTGTGTACTGTAGTGTGGTATAGTGTAGTGTAGTCTAGTGTAGTGTAAAGTAGTGTAGTTGTAGTTGTAGTGTATTGTAATTAGTGTAGTGTAGCGTAGTGCAATGTAGTGGTAGTTGTAATTGTAGTTGCAGTTGTAGATGTAGTGTAATGTAATGTAGTTAGTGTAGTGTTGTGTAGTGTTGTGCAATGTGAGTGTAGTAGTTGTAGTTGCATGTATACTTGTAGTTGTAGTGTGCTGCAGTGTAATTAGTGTAGTGCAGTGTAATGTAGTGTAGCTGTAATTGTACTTGTAGATTTGGCAGCAGCAGCAGCAGCAGTAGTAGTAGTAGCAGCAGCAGTAGTAGTAGTGGTAGTAGTAGTAGTAGTAGTAGCAGTCGTCGTAGTAGTAGTAGTAGTCGTCGTCGTCGTCGTAGTAGTAGTAGCAGTAGTAGGAGTAGTAGTAGTAGTAGTAGTTGTTGTTGTAGCTGTAGTTGCAGTGGCAGTTGCAGTTGTAGTTGTAGTTGTACTTGTCGTTGTCGTTGTCGTTGTCTGTCTATCTACCTAATCTATCTATCTATCTATCTACCTACCTATCTAGCTAGCTAGCTATCTATCTATCGATCTATCTATCTATGTATCTATCTATCTGTCTATATGTCTGTCTGTCTATCTGCAAGCTTGAAAACGCAGCAAGTCTGCGAGACCTCCTCAATTGTTGAACTTGACAACATCCAAAACGAAGCAAGTCTGCGAGACTTCCTCAATTTTTGATCTTGACAACATCCAAAGCAAAGCAATTCTGCAAGACGTCCTCAATTTTTGAACTTGACAACATCACAAACGAAGCAATTCTGCGAGACTTCCTTCAAAAATGGAAAGTTGAGTGCAGAGCTGACGGCCTCGTACCAATGCGTTTTGCGATTTTTCCACTCCACCTGTCTAAAGTACCGCGCCTGCCACGAAAAAGTGATGCCAGGTCATACGAAGTGCTGCACCTGTCACGCAAAATCATCTCAGCAAACCTGAAGATCTGATGCTCCAAAATGCAACCCCTCTCAGGAAATCAGCGCCCGGACCCCTAACAGCTCTGATGAACATGTCTCTCGCACTGCGCCTGCCACAAAATGCATCTTTGCAGATCCTCTTCGAATGTCCCACGCCTGCCATCGTTTTTAGAAATGCCACAAAACCCTCACGTGTTGCTCACTTTTGGCAAGGTGCACAATCCCTTGCGCATGCCACGCAAAACGACGCTTCAACGTCCAAAAGTGGCGCGTACATGTGGTGTTTTGTAGATTTTGATGCACTTTTTCGACATCGCAACTTCTAAAAGTGCTCCAGAGCTGAAGTGCTTTGTACATTTTGACTTCGAAATGTGCTTCGTGCCACACCGGCGTGCACTTTTTCGACATCGCAACTTCTAAAAGCGCTCCGAGGCTGTGTTTTGCACATTTTGACTTTGAAGCGTGCTTCTCGCCACAACGGCGTGCAATTTTTCATCTCCCATCTGACCACATGGCTCCGCACCCGCCGCTTTAGCGAGCCTACTTTTCGACCCTCCGGAGCCACAAATCACTTGAAAAACACAGTGTTTTGCGACTTTCCTACCTTTTCGCGCACCTGGATCTTCTTTCTTCGGAGACTTTCTCTTTTTTGATCCTCATTCTTCTTCTCTTCTCTTCTCTTACTCTTCCCATCTCTGCTTTTCATCTGTCAATATTGTCAGAAGTTTGACTTCTAAACTTCCTTCGAACATACAAATCCTTCTTTGCAGCAAAGAAACCGCGCCGACAAAGCCGCGGCCGCCGAAGACCAAAGTGCGACTCATGGCTTCAGAACTAAGAAGTTCGTTTCTGCTTGCATGGATCAGAAGCACTTGTGCTACGCAGACACTGTTTAAATACGTGTCATCAAACACTGAAATATGTATAGCAATATTTAGAAATCAAACGTGGACGTCTTCCTAGCAGTGTGTGGCAATCTGAGATGATACATCTTGACAAATGCCAAAGTGTCAGTTGTTTGGAACAAAGTTCATTAGACTATATACGGTGTGTGTATATATATATATATTATATAATAAATTATATACATACACACATCTATATATATATATACGCAAATCCAATGTCACTTAATGTGATTGTCATCTTGAATAAGTTGAACCCTGTTGACCTGCCTACGGGGCCACAGGCTTGCGAAGTACGAGAATGGCACATTATGACTCGGTATCTTTGCTTGGACCTGGAAATGGAGTCATTGAAATGCAATGGCTGCAGCATGCAAAACAACATGTTGTAGGCGCACAGGACAAAGCGAAGCACTGTATGGGAATCTATACGTAGCTTTTCTAGGTTTTAGTATGTTCTGGCGTTCAGTCGATTTTGTTGCTCGTTTAGTGATTAGATGTGATTGGTCAAGAAAATCAAATATGGTCAAATTGGAATCAAAAAGCAACCTAAAGTTGACAAGTTGACATAAAGCAACATAAAGCAACCCAATTTTGATCATATATCACCAGATCTTCTTGAAGACCTCGTGGCCACCTGCCACCTGTGGCCTGCTGTGTAAGGTCTCAACTTGCTGTGGTTGGGCGGCACAGGCTCAGGCACAACTTCCTGTGAAATCGAAATCAAACACTTCAATCGAAAAAGAAAAAACGGCGCTCTGAATGACAAAAAGATTTGTAAAGGTCATGAAAGGCATACCTGGACTGTCTGGGGATACCGAAGAATCCTTCTGAATCTTCGATCTGCAAAGATCTGCAAATTTCGCCCACATTTTGCAGATTGTTTAGCCCGTTCGGCAGAGACCACCTCTGCAGGCACTGCGTAAAGTGGCGATGCTGCACGGCAACGGGCCATGTTGGCCTCAAGCTCAAGGACACTTAAGGGACACCATTGGAAAACATGGGAAGACTTCTGCCGTCTATGACCTTTCTTGCTCTGGACTGTTTAAGTGTGATTGTCTTGTCATGTCTTGTCATTACCATCTTTTCTTGTTTTTATTGCCGGATCTGCACTATGTTTTTCACATGAAACCAGCTCGGGTAAATTTGCAAATCACAAACAGCTCAACACTCAATACGTTCGGGGCAGACTTTGGCCAACTTTCCTTTCAGGAGCAAACGACAAGTCGGCAAGCGATCATGAAATACATTACCTCAGCAGTCACACAGGTACAATATGGTACAATGGTTTCACAATTTCAAAACGTATCAAAACATGTAATTTTCAGGACTTACGAGTTCAACAAGCGTGAGCCTACAAAAGGGATGAGAACAATGTGTATCTTGGCTGAAGCATTTAGGCGCAAGCAGCAAGGGCACAAGTCTCCAGGCTCTTCAAGGCGAAGCTATCCTGAGTGGGCTGGATCAACTCAATGGGCAATCGGAATCTTCAAAATCGGTCCGTGCTTTGTCAATCTGTCACAACCTAACGCAATCGGTCACCACGGGTCACAGTCAAAGTGATATTCCAGAGAGTTCCTCTTGGTTCAGACTTGGACGTGCACTGCCATACCCGGGCGACGGAAAGATAAAGGTAGGTAACACTGCGACGTTGTCGAGAGCAGCAGCAATACTGCCTCTCAACAGTCTCAACTCCTCAACTCTGTGCTCAGGGGACCAGGATGGACCAGGTCTGCAATCAAAACCAAAGCAAACCGCACAAACCGCTCACATTTGTTGACTAACTTTTGAATCAGATTGACCTTCGACCTGGCGCTCTAACTTTCCCTGACTACGTGAAGATCTGTTCCTGGAATCCCTCAGATTCCCTGCCTGCACATAAACAGCAAACTTGCAAATGAGGCTGAGCAATCTGGACATCTCCACTAGCACCAAGTTCGACTGCCTGCTAAGAGGCATGGCCAGTCCATTCGTGTTGTGCTTGCCTTCTCCATATTTCTCAAAATCCACTTTAGATCTCTTCATATACTTCTCCATATCCTGTTCATATCATCTTCATACTCAAACACATTTAACATCGTCTAACATCGTGAGAACATCGTCAGAAAACTTGGCTATGACTTATGACTGCCGTTGATCCGAGACCCAGTCCATGAGTAAAGCGTAATTTGCAGAGATACTGTGTCATGAGATGTGACATGCCGCAATGCCGAAGGCAGCCGAAGGCATGAGATCTTGAATGTGTGAGAGTACGATACAGTATGATACAGTAATATATTGTAATCTATAGTGTAATACACTCTCAGCATGTTAGTATTGTGGGACGCTGACCTCGGAAGCCATGGAGAGGAGGAGACGACAAGCAGCGTTGACGCCTGCGGTCTGCAAACTCCACAGCTTTTTCAGTTATTTACTGAGACTTACAAACTTACTTACTGTACAGCTTTGCAGCTTAGTTTGAAGATGGTTGAAGGACGGTCAAAAATGGGATGTGTATTCGTATAGATCTGTGAGCAGGGCCAAAGTATCAGGTGCGAAAAGTACATGTCTGCAGGTATTAGCGAACTTGCAGTCCAGCATTGGCTGGAAGTCCTTCTCATATTTGTTGGGGTGTGCCATGAAAACCTAGCTGAGTAGTGATATATAAGGGGATATGAACATCAATCTCACCCACATCCTATCCACGTCATCACCTTGGGTTTCCAACATCATCCTACTTGCGTACTAGGTGCTCAGCACATTCATGTTGTCTCATGAATTTCTACCTCGTTTAATGAGATTGTTTTGATGTTGTTCCCCTGCAAATTTTGGTCTACATCAAGATTCAATTTGGGTGCGAGTGGGCTTCTTATTCGTTCAGGTAATATGACCGGGTCTTGGGTAACTATGTATCCAATATGTTCAACTACATAACACATATCTATGGGGCGTTCTTTCCAAACTCAACTGAGAAATATCTTTCAGGTGAGGCACTATACATGGTGCTGCTGCCCAGCCAATCGCAGGGGGCTGCAGCAAGACCATCATCCTGGCTTCGCCGGCTTGGGCAGCTGCATGCGACAAAGGCCACATGTTTTTGCATGAAAAAAATGAAGCACGAGAGAAACAACTTAAAACCATCCTTGAAGGATCTGGAATGATGAAAGAGCGTGATGTAGCAATGCCGCCGATACAAACAAGGACCTTGTATACTCGCTCGTTTATTTTGCTTGCAAACAGCAAAGCAGCACTGACGACAGCTCGTCAAGCTGTTCATGGTTTCCGGAGTTGCATCTAAGGACAATGTGACACAATGTGACACAATGTGACACAATGTGACACAATGTGACACAATGTGACACAATGTGACACGAACCTCAAAGGTGAACCTGAACCGCCTGAATTTGGAAATTTGTCGCAAATCAAGGCAGCGCGACCCTACTGTCTCTGCCATCATGGAGGCTAACAACAAGGCCTGCGACGGCTCAATCACTTAATCTCCAATTCAACAAACATTGGATGTCCTGGGCCGCCTGGGCCGTGGAAATAAAAAGTCCGCGTCTCACAAGTCATACATAGGAGTCTCATGTGCGACTCGGGGGCAGAACAGTTTAAGTCTCATGTGCATCTTGTGCTTCTTGTGCTTCTTCTTTGTTTGGCAATTTGTTGCCGTTGGTGACATACGGTGACACCTTTGGGCGTACCTCCCTAAGTAGTCGTCTGGGGCTAGGCAGTGGCCAAGGCTCTGCAGAAGGAAGCCTCAAGGGCAGTTGACATCCGACAGCATGCAGACTATCGGCGGACCTTTTGCCATTCCAACAGTTTCAACCTCTTAACATGGTCTTATGTGTAAATATATGTAATTATATATAATTGTGTATATGTATATGTATATATGTTTTGATGATGTGTTCATGTCGATTTTTGATATTTTGTCAAATCGATTCTTCTTGAGCACAAGCCTCACACTCCAATCAAAAACCACCGACTGCATAGCTCCTTTGTGCTCACAGACCCTGTATGACCTGTGTTTCGGAGAAAGGAAAGAGGACTAGAGATGCGCGTCGTTTGTTTTTCCAGGTCAGACTCAAGCTGCGAAGAGCGCACTCAAAAAGATTTCATCTGCTCCAACTTTCGGCTGCCTTTGCCAGGCCATATCTCTGTAACACCTCTCCCACCACCTGAGGTAACGCATGTGACGACTGTTTGCTCCACTGAAGTTCCGCAGAAGAGAGCAAATGCAAACAATGGAGCTGAACAAAGCACTGGGTTCACTGTCTGGAGCAGGACTTAGAATCAGGCTCCTCATCTTGGCTCAATTGATACAGACTACGGCAAGTCAGAGCAAACGGCCACGCCTGATGAAGCGCTGTGTCAATGAATGCAGACAACAAGAAAAACAACAGTGCAGTACTTGGTATCACGAGTTCAATTTTGATGCTTGTTCGGCGGTGGTTTGCCTTGGGAAGCTTCTCTGAATGGCTTGGCTCGTGCGACTGTGAGACTGTGAGAAGTGAGAACGCATTCAGAAACATGTCGAGAGTCTGCCTCTGCAGGCTCACTGGCCAGAAAGTGCAGAACCGTCCGCAACAGATCATCCAAAAGTACCAAACCTCACGCAAAGAACAGTCTGATTTAATCTGAACACTTGCTACATGCTGATTTACAAGAAGCTACTAATTGGGCTCCTCTTGCAAATTGGCAATCACAAATTCAGCCGCTGCACTCTTTTCAAACTGAAGCATGCCGATCTTTTGGGTACACACTCTTTTCGATATAACGCCAACATGTGTGGGCGAAAATTGACGGAGAATAGGTCTCCCGAATCTGCTCGTTTCTACTCACTCATCGCAGTCCTTTAAAGAAAGCCTCAATGGGGTTGGGAGGCGGAGTCGTTGTAGTTGTGGTCGTTGTTGGATTGAAGAGATCAATGATGAACTGAAATGGGTTGCCACCGCCACCACCACCCTGGCTCACAGGTGATGGCGCAGGAGCAGGAGCAGGTGCAGGCGCAGACACCGGAATCTCAACACCTGCATCCCGGTATCCATTTGCCGTGGTCATCATTTCCCAAGCAGCCTTCTTCTCTGCACCCTTTTGCCTCCTCCATTCCTCATACTCAGGAGTGCCACGATCAGCTGCAGTGAACTTTCGGCCATTCATCACTGTTCGAGTTCGCAGCTGTTGCAGCTGTCGCAGCTGTTGCAGCTGTTGCAGCTGTTGCATCTGCGCCTGGCCGACAAAGGCGTCCTCTTCAGGCAAATTGTTTTCAAGCAAGGTCATAGCCAAGACCATCATGGCCAAACCGACGCAAATGCATGGAAAGAGAGGAAGTCTGCCGCCCATCTTTGTGGCACAAAGAGTCACAACAAAAAACACGCGAAGCCACTGTATCCTCCCAAGCTTGCGCCAAGACCGCAGAAGGCAGCGATTTCAAATGCTCCGTGCATCTCTGTGCTCTTCACTGCGAATGTTTGTGCAAAAACTTCACATATCTTCACAGTAGTCACAGTAGTCACAGTAGTCACATGAATTTCTGAATGTCACATGATTGCGCTCAAATCATAGTGTGATCTTCACCGAAAACAAAGCGTAGCGGCGTAGCACACACAGAAGCTGGGCAACCCACCCAAAGCAGCATGTTGCTCCAAATGAATATCGTTTCCATCCTTTCAACGGGAATAACGGCAAGAAAGCATCTATATCCGAATCTGAATATGCTAAATGTGTATCTGAATTATTCTGAATTTAAATGCTACGTGCCAGGGCAAGTGACTGCACAACGTGAGAGACCTGACACCTGAGACACCTGAGATAGGACAACGCGACGAAGGTTGGATCACGAAGGCCTTCAGGGCAGCTCTGCACCAACGGTCGCCAAGCGGTCGGGGCCCATGCCTGGGTGCGAAACACAGAGCATTGACAAAATTTTGACAAAATTGACTAAGTCCTGCCTAAGCATCGCAGCATTAAAATGCACAAATCGAATAAAATCGATCATCGATGATCAACAATCACTGCTCCACAGTGCCCCACAGTCTTCAAATGTGTGTGATTCAAAGGGCAAATTCTGGAAAAAACTGGAGAAGGATCGGCGAAAAAACACCAGTGTTGTGAAAAGGTGCGGACAACAGTTTCAACAGGTCAAAAATCTGATACTATACAAAGTTGTAAGCTGCTGCAATCTTGAGACCTTCGATTGACTCCATGTAGGGTAGAGTAAAGAAATAGAAATAAAATCACATAATTGTTTCTTTGCGCTTCTGTGTGGAGGGGGGCAGGACTTAAACTCTATTCGGACGGTTTTTGTGGGTGTTTCCGGTGTTTCCCAAGTTTTGACAAGTTTTGGGGAGTTGGGGTGGGGAGGTGCGGTAAAGTAAGGGCATTGGTGCGCATTTCAAAGCGCAGGCATCGGGATGCATGGCAAGGTCGACTATCACTGATTCTACTACGAGTAGCCCTCGGCCCAAGTCAAGCTAATATATAATAAAGACCAAACCACATAGAGAAGCTGAGGAAAGCCGGAGTCCATGGCAAATTGGGGAACTAAAGCCGGTCGAAAGTGACAAAATGTCGCATCAGGGGCTCAGGACAGGCAGGTCAAAAAGACCGCTATAACTCACATAGTTTTTATGAAACACATATACTGAAATATACCGACACGTACGCATATGTGAATGTATCTTATATTTGCGGCATCCATGGTTAAAACTTAAAACACATGATTGATATACACACACGTACACATGTACATATACACTTACATATACATATTAATGCATATGTATATGTACATGAATATGGATATTTATTTATATATATATATGTGTGTGTGTGTCAATGCATGTCATTGTATAGTAAATGCCTCTGTATGTCAATGTATTTGTCAATGTGTTTGTCAATGTATATGTCAGCGTACATGTCAATGTATATGTATATGCATACATATGGGTATAATATGTAGTGTCATTATCATTATTACTGTTACTATTCCTATTATTACTATTGTTACTAGTCGAAGGAAGTTTAGAAGTCAAACTTTTGGCAATAGGGACAGATGAAAAGCAGAGATGGGAAGAGTCAGAGAAGATAAGAGAAGAAGAAAGAAGATCAAAGAAGAGAAATTCAGAAGAAAGAAGATGCAGGCTCAGGCGCGCGAAAAGGTAGGAAAGTCCCGATTCACTGTGTTTTCCACTGGTTTGTGGCTCCGGAGGGTCGAAAAGTAGGCTCGCTAAAGCGGCGGGTGCAGAGCCAGCTGGCCAGATGAGAGATGAAAAATTGCACGCCGTTGTGGCGCGAAGCACGTTTCAAAGTCAAAATGTACAAAGCACCTCAGCTTCGGATCACTTTTAGAAGTTGCGATGTCAAAAAGTGCACGCTGTTGTGGCGCGAAGCACATTTGCAAGTGAAAAAGCTAAAAACACCTCACGTTTGGACCACTTTTGGAAGTTGTGATGTCGAAAAAGTGCACGCCGTTGTGGCGCGAAGCACATTTCCAAGTCAAAATGCACAAAGCACACCAGCTCCGGACCACTTTTGGCAGTTGAGATGTCGAAAAAGTGCACGCTGTTGTGGCGCGAAGCACACGTCGAAGTCCAAAGTGCAAAAAAGTGAGGGGTTCAGACCACTTTTGGACGTTCAGATGTCGTTTCGCGTGGCCGGCGCAAGGGATTGCCCGCCTGTCAAAAGTGAGCAAAACGTGAGGGATCTGTAGCGTCTCAGCTACAACCACCAGTACACTACACTACACTCCACTCCAACTACAACTACAACTACAACTACAACTACATTACGCTACACTACACTCATTACACTACGCTACACTACACTACACTCCATTTTGCTTCACTACACTAGACTACACTACACTACAACTGCAACTACAATTACATCTGCAACTACAACTACACTACATTACACTACACTACACTAACTACATTACACTACGCCGCCCTAGACTACACTATATTACACTACACTACGCTACACTACACTACACTAACTACAACTACAACGACAACGGCACCTACAACGACAACAACAACTACAACTACACTACATTACACTACACTACACTGCACTACACTACACTCCACCACACCACACTACACCACGACACTAGACTAGACTAGACTACACTACAGCACGCAACACTACAGCACACTACACTACATTACATTGCACTACACTCATTACACCACACCACAACTACAACTGCAACTGCACCAGGCTAATTTCACTACACTACACCTAGCACTACAGCTGCACTACACCACACTACATCCAGAAGTTGTGGGTGAGGTGAACACTGCAACCATTGCAACCACTCCAAAAAACACAACTCCAACCACCTTTCGGTCCATCAGTGGATTCGCTCTGCCATCCATGCATCACAACAACTCACCTCTCCTATAGTGTCCTATCTTTGAAACTTCCGCCACCACCTTGTGCGGCACTACTGGTAATTCTAGTATGACTACCAGTAGTACCGCACAAGGCGGTGGCGGAAGTTTCAAAAGTAGGAAACCTATAGGGAGGGTTGGTTGTTGTGATGCATGGATGGCAGAGAGAATCCACTGATGGACCGAAAGGTGGTTGGAGTTGTGTTTCTGGAGTGGTTGCAATGGTTGCAGCGGTCACCTCACCACAACTGCTGGATGTAGTGTGGTGTAGTGCAGTTGTAGGTGGAGGTGTAGTTGTAGTGGAGTGGAGTTGTAGCTGTAAGTTGTAGTTCTATTGAGGTGTAATTATATAGTGTAGTGTAGTTGCAGTTGTAGTTGTGGTGTAATTAGTGTAGTTTACTGTGGTGTACTTTAGTGTTGTGTACTGTAGCGTGGTAAAGTGTAGTGTAGTCTAGTGTATCGTCGTGTAAAGTAGTGTAGTTGTAGTTGTAGTGTAGCGTCGTGTAGCGCAATGTAGTGGCAGTTGCAGTTGTAGTGTAATGTAAGTAGTGTAGCGTAGTGTTGTGTAATGTAGTGCAGTTGTAGTTGTGTTTGCATTTGTAGCTGTAATGCACTGCAGTTTAATTAGTGCGCTGTAGTGTTGTGTAGTGTAGCTGCAATTGTCGTTGTAGCTGTGGTGGTGGTGGTGGTGGTCGTCGTAGTAGTAGTAGTAGCAGCAGCAGCAGTAGTAGTAGTATTAGGAGTAGTAGTAGTAGTAGTAGTAGTCGTCGTCGTCGTAGTAGTAGTAGTAGTAGTCGTCGTCGCCGTAGTAGTAGTAGTAGTACTAGTACTAGTACTAGTACTAGTACTAGTACTAGTTGCTGTTGTAGTAGTTGCAGTGTAATTAGTGTAATTAGTGCAATTTATATATTTAGTGTACTTAGTGTAATTAGTGTAGTGTAGTGTAATTAGATGCAATTAGATGTAATTAGATGTAAATAGATGTAATTACATGTAATTAGTGTAGTGTAGTGTGATTAATCTTGTGTAATGTAGCGTAGTATATTTGTACTTGTAGTTGTAGTAGTAGTGTAGTGGTACTTGTAGCTGTAGACTGTAGTTGCAGTTGTAGTTGTCTATCTATCTATCTATCTAACTATCTATCTATCTATCTATCTGTCTATCTGCAAGCTTGAAAACGAAGCTATTCTGCGAGACTTCCTCAGCTTTTGAACTTGACAACACCAAAAACGCAGCAATTCTGCGAGATTTCCTTAATTCCCGAGAGCGTCTGAGCGCAGGGTTCTTCCAATAGTGGGGGTCTGTGTCTCATCTTCTCATCTTCACATCTTCTCATTTTCACATCTTCTCATCCTCACATCTTCTCATCTTCACATCTTCTCATTTTCACATCTTCTCATCTTCACATGTTCCCATCATCTTCACATATTCACATCCTCACATCTTCACATCTTCTCATCTTCACATCTTCTCATCTTCACATCTTCACATCTTCTCATCTTCTCATCTTCACATCTTCTCATCTTCACATCTTCTCATCTTCACAACTTCTCACCTCCACATCTTCTCATCTTCACATCTTCTCATCTTCGCATCTTCTCATCTTCACATCTTCTCATTTTCACATCTTCTCATCCTCACATCTTCTCCTCTTGCCTTCTTGCCCTCTCGCCCTCTTGCCCTCACATCTTCACATCTTCTCCTCTTGTCCTCTTGCCCCCTTGCCCTCTCCTGCTTTTCTATTTCTCTTCTGAAGGCGGGGGCAGGGGCAGTGCCTACGAGACGGCACGAAACGCAACCCTTTCGCACGAAATGAGGTTCGATCGCCAAAAACTGAGGTAAAATTGCGATGTCCAAGTCGTCCCGCGCAACCTTCGATCATTCGATCGCCAAAAACTGAGGTAAAATTGCGATTCCAACTTGTCCGGCGCAACCCTTTCACACGAAATGAGGTTCGATCGACAAAAACTGAGGTAAAATTGCGAAGTCCAAGTCGTCCCGCGCAACCCTTTCGCACGAAATGAAGTTCGATCGTCAAAAACTGAGGTCAAATTGCGATTTCAAGTTGTCCCGCGCAACCCTTTCGCACGAAATGAGGTTCGATCGTCAAAAACTGAGGTAAAATTGCGATTCTAAGTTGTCCCGCGCAACCTTTTCGCACGAAATGAGGCTCGATCGCCAAAAATTGAAGAAAAATTGCGATTCCAAGTTGTCCCGCGCAACCCTTTCGCACGAAATGAGGTTCGATCGCCAAAAACTGAGGTAAAATTGCGATGTCCAAGTCGTCCCGCGCAACCCTTTCGCACGAAATGAGGTTCGATCGCCAAAAACTGAGGTAAAATTGCGATTTCAAGTCGTCCCTCTTGTCCCGCGAACCCTTTCGCATGTGAGCATGGGCCGGCCTGTGTGTAAAAGCGTCTGTGTGTAAAAGCGTCTGTCTGTAACTGTAAAAGTGTCTGTGTGTAAAAGCGTCTGTGTGTAAAAGCTTCTGTCTGTAAAAGCTTCTGTCTGTAAAAGTTTTTGTGGGTAAAACCTTTTGTGTGTAAAAGCGTCTGTGTAAAAGCAACTGTGTGTAAAAGCTTCTGTGTGTGAAACTGTCTGTGTGTAAAAGCGCCTGTGTGTAAAACCGTCTGTGTGTAAAAGCGTCTGTGTGTAAAAGCGTCTGTGTGTAAAAGTGTCTCTGTGTAAAAGCCTCTATGTGTAAAAGCTTCTGTGTGTAAAAGCTTTTGTGTGTAAAAGCGTCTGCGTGTAAAAGCTTCTGTGTGTAAAACTCCTGTGTGTAAAAGGGTCTGTGTTAAAAGTGTCTGTGTGTAAAAGCGTCTGTGTGTAAAAGTGTCTGTGTGTAAAAGCGTCTATGTGTAAAAGCGTCTGTCTGTAAAAGCTTCTGTCTGTAAAATCTTCTGTGGGTAAAAGCTCTTGTGTGTAAAAGCGTCTGTGTAAAAGCAACTATGTGTAAAAGCGTCTGTGTGTAATACTGTCTGTGTGCAAAAGCGCCTGTGTGTAAAAGTGTCTGTGTGTAAAAGTGCCTGTGTGTAAAAGCGTCTGTGTGTAAAAATGTCTATGTGTAAAAGCTTCAGTGTGTAAAAGCTTCTGTGTGTAAAAGCTTTTGTGTGTAAAAGCGTCTGTGTGTAAAAGCTTCTGTGTGTAAAACTGTTTGCGATGCAAACTATTGTCTTGTACTTGTGCTATATTGTCTGGATACTCCTCTTCTCGACTGCCTATAACACATCTTTAAATTTAATATATTGTTTTGTAATATGGTGTCTCCATACTAACAAGAGAAGACCCTGCTCCTCTATGCTCTCGGGCCATCCGTCGTCTAGTTTTTGAACTTGACAACGTCAAAAACGAAGCACTTCTGCGAGACTTCCTCATTTTTCGAAGTTGACAACATCAAAAACGAAGCAATTCTGCGAGACTTCCTTCAAAAATGGAAAGTTGAGTGCAGAGCTGACGGCCTCGTACCAATGCGTTTTGCGATTTTTCCACTCCACCTGTCTAAAGTACTGCGCCTGCCACGACAAAGTGATGCCAGGTCGTATACGAAGTGCTGCACCGGTCGCGCAAAATCATCTCAGCAAACCTGAAGATCTGATGCTCCAAAATGCAACCGCTCTCAGGAAATCAGCGCCCGGACCTCCTAACATCTCTGATGAACATGTCTCTTGTACTGCGCCTGCCACGGAAAATGCATCTTTGCAGATCCTCTTCAAATGTCCCACGCCTGCCATTGTTTTTGGAAATGCCCCAAAACCCTCACGTTTTGCTCACTTTTGACACGGTGCACAATCCCTTGCACCTGCCACGCGAAACGACATCTGAACGTCCAAAAATGGTGTTAGCATGTTGACCTCGAAATGTGCTTCGCGCCACAACGGCGAGCACTTTTTCGACATCACAACTTCCAAAAGTGGTCCGAACATGGTGTGCTTTGTGCATTTTGACTTCGAAATGTGCGTCGCGCAACAACGGCATCTACTTTTTCGACATCTCAGCTTCTAAAAGTACTCTGAAGCTGAGGTGCACTTTTTCGGCATGTCAACTTCCAAAAGTGGTCCGGGCATGTTGTGCTTTGTGCATCTTGACTTCGAAATGTGCTTCGCGCCACAACGACGTGCACTTTTTTGACATCGCAACTTCTAAAAGCGCTCCAAGGCTGAGGTGTTTTGTACATTTTGACTTCGAAGCGTGCTTCGCGCCACAACGGCGTGCAATTTTTCATCTCTCATCTAGCCAGCTGGCTCCGCACCCGCCGCTTTAGCGAGCCTAGTTTCCGATCCTCCGGAGCCACAAATCATTGGAAAAACACAATGTTTGGCGACTTTGCTACCTTTCCGCGCACCTGGATCTTCTCTCTTCCGAGACTGTCTCTTTTTTGATCTTCTTTCTTCTTCTCTTCTCTTCTCTTCTCTTCCCTTCTCTTCTCTTCCCTTCTCTTCTCTTCTCTTCTCTGACTCTTCCCATCTCTGCTTTTCATCTGTCCATATTGTCGGAAGTTTGACTTCTAAACTTCCTTCGGTTTTTACTATTACGAATATTACTGCTATGATTACTCTTATCACTCTCATTGTCTACCATCATTATCATCCTTATGTATCAGTATTCCTATATATATATATTATTGTTGTTGTCATTATTGCTACTATTTTGATTATTGGTACGTATTATTATTAGTAGTATCGGTTTTTAACATCATCATCATCATCATCATCATCATGATTCATATGATGATTCAAAAGATGATTCATATGATGATTCAAAAGATGATTCGTATGATGATTGTTTTTCTAGCCCCTTTGAACGTCTCCCGAGTTCCAAACCAGAAAAGCATCGCAAGCATCAATGGCTTCACGTCTCCAAAGCCTCCGCAGAACAACAGAGCTTTCCTATGCCCTATGCATTGCTATGCCGTGTTTGTCTTCGGTAGGACAGCTATGGAAGCTATCAACCGTTCCAATTTATGACAATTTCTGCCGTAGCAGAAAGTGGAGGAATGACCTGCCATGCCACAGCCGAATAG